CCAAATGGGGACTCCACTTTTGTCCCCAAAAGCACCAGTTGTCCCCAAATGTAGGATTTTTGTCTTAAATTTGCCCCCAAATGTTATTAAAGCTGAACCCCCTCCCCCCACCCACACCCACACACACACACACACACAATGGTAAACTACAATGTAGCCACAGCTGGGCACACTGACATGTTAGGCTTGTAAAGTATGTAAATGGTAAATGAACTGTACTTGTACAGAATCCTTTCTGTCCACACAGAATACTCAATCTGTGACCTCATTTACTGATCCACCCACTCGTACATATAGTGCCATACTACATTTGTACAAAGCTAATCTGAGAAAATCATTCTGTAGAGACTAATCAATGCTTAGATCAAACTCAGACTGATGGGACACACATCAGAGGCAATGAGGCAAAGCCACGGCTGGAGTATAAAGTAGAGTGTTCCAAGCAACTATCTACAAAAAACCTGAACATGCTTTCATTTGTGACTTTTAGTCTCTTTCTGTGCACATCATCTATTGGTTTGTTTAAAGCAGCTTCTGACCTTTATCATTTGGGACAAATCTCCAGCATCTGCCAGCTCCAGAACAATGTTGAGCTCACTGTCTTCAATAAAGGAGTCCAGGTACTTGATTACATTGGGATGATTCAGCTGCTGCAGTGGACAAACATACGACAAATGTTTAAACAGATACTTTAGTGCTGATGGTGCCAAGGCTCCTGTTGATGGACACTGACACAAAGGTTGAGTTATGAAGACAACTAAACAAACATGTAATAGTGTAGGTTTAATATGGGCTAACATAGCACTCTGTCACATCAGTCCATTGGTGGAATTTTAGACTGAAAATTTTAAATCAGGCCCTGGACTGGCTGCCCATTAGCCGAGCCTGGACAAAGAGTTTAGCTTCTTTCTCTATGGCTGATGTCACAACTGATAAGGTACCAACTACTTAGATCTCAAGACAGGTATTTCTAATTTTCTTCTCATGTTTATAATAAAAACTCTTAACAATACTTCATTAACTCCCTTTTCCTTTTGATCCACTGCAGCCTTGATAAACTTTACCTTTAGTAGATCAATTTCTTTGACGCAGTCTTGACGAGCCTTTGCGTCCATCATCTCAAAGACCTGCAGGGACAAAAATGTGGTCTTTTCATCTTACAGAGATTCAATACAAGTAAGGTAGAAATTTTAAAGAAAAACAGAAATTAAATAAATAAAAAGCACATTATTTAGTAGGGTCATCCAATAAAATTGCTAATTTGATACAAAACTACAGAAAAAACTCAATACTATTTGATACTGCGGGAAAAAGGCCAAATAAATTCAAAAACCTGATGTTTTAAATGCTTGCAATCTTAGCCCCTGGTGAAAATATTTATAATCGTGTTAATATATTAATCATGTTCAGAATAGTAAAGTGACTATTTCTGGCAGTCAATGAATGTTAAAGAACATGTGTTATTAATCTTGACAAGTGCGAGTATGAAGAGTATTTAGAGGAAGTATTTAGATAGAGTATGTGCCAAACTATTCCAGAGTTGTGGTGCAGAGTACTCTACCTGGACTTTCTTGAGTGCCACTGGCTGTTCATCCAGCAGACATATGGCTTTATAGACCTCACTGAACTGACCTCGACCTATCTTCTTTTCAATGCGAAAGTTGGCCATACTGCAGCAGTACCTACAGCTTGACAGATTTCTCTGTGCAGGGAAAAACAAAACAAAAACTCTTGATCCAGTCTAAATTTGAATGCTTCTTAAATCATCAATCTACTAAAATAAAATAACACCCCATCATATGCATAAAAATACTGAAAATCTACAAGTAAAATCAGCATTGTCTCATTGTAACACCCTAAATTGGATAGAAAAATTAATTATATATAACCTTCTGTTAATGAGGTGCAAACTGTAGAAAAATGGTGAGCACAGCCCAGAGTACTTCTTCATATACTGAGGGTCTTGTGTGCTGTAGCCTTCAAACAACATATCAGGCTTTTAAATCCTTCTTTTTCACATTTAAATCAATCAGTTGTGGTCTATTAAAAGTGGAACTGCAATGCTTTGGCCTGAATCCCTCCATATTGTAACTCCACAAGCCTCTCTTTCACCCCTCTTCTGAGCGAGAGGACTGAAGACGGCCATACTAGTTGGTAAGTCCAGAGCTTATTTGGCAGTTCTGTCATCAATAATTTGACGTAATAGTTCAGAAAACATCGTGGAAAATTGAGAAAACTAAAAGGGTTGAAAAATAGGATCCAAAGAAGAATTTAAACCTATCTAAGCAGCACTGAGAGAGACTAAATGAAACTTTTCTGCATTCCTACAGACTAATTACACAACAAAATGCATTTGCACGTCCCCTTTATTTCTCCTACCTGGTCCTCCTGTTTAGGTAGTTTGCACAAATTGTCTAAAGAAGGCTTGGTGTTGTTGTTCTGCACATCCATGGTGGAACACCCCGACATCTACAACAAACAAGATTTGACATTTTTAACAATCACAGATAAAAAAAATACCATCTTACAGCATTACAAAACACAAAATTACATCAACTATAAACTAGCAGTAGTTTGTCTATATTTGCATGTTTTATAGTGTAGTTTCATTGCCTTTTTAAAGTTTGTATTGGCAGTTCAATAGATTTTCTTTGCAAAAATATAACTTAGGTACTGCATAACATTTATTATTCTTTATGTACCATCACCATTGTTTCATACGGAAGCCGAGAGCGGACGTTTTCAGCATAATTTTTTTTTCCATGGTTTTCTTGTGATAACGACATAACGAGGACCGTTTTCTCGAGATAACGAATTAATTCCCGATGATCTGCAGTCAGGCCAGCCATCTCCTTAAATGACGAGGGCTGATATGAAAGTTATCTGTACAAGACAAATAGCAATTTCAGCCTGTGTAATGATAAAAAATGACACAAAATTATTAGGGGTGTCCCGATCCGATATCAATATCGGATATCGGTCCGATATCAGCCAAAAAACGAGTATCGGATTTTATCGGACTGCATAAAAAATGTCCGATATCAGCGCTCCGATATTAGCAGTCCGTTCCAGCAGTTCACTGACTCCGCTCCAGTGTTTCTATCCAGCAGCGCTTGGATCCTGCTTGTAGCACTCACGTGATCATAACAACAGCAGCGCTAACAAGTTAGCAAGAATGTCGGCAGCAGAACTTTTTATTTTCATCAAAAACAGAGTTGCAGCTAAGTGTAAAGTTGTCATGCACAAGTTTTCCGAGGGGAAACACAGAACCGTGAACGTTTTAAACCGGAGCGACAACTACTCTCCACCCTGGCAGCAGCTTTGCGGTTCGGCTCGGTTCAGCCTCGGTCCAGTGACCGCACACAGCCGGGCTGTTTCGGAACCTCCGCTCCGGTCCGGTCGGTGATTCTAAGCGGGCAGAAGCGAGGACAGCACGCTTGTTTTGACATCCGTGGATTAGCTCTGTGTTGATGGACAGAAGAAAGGAGAGCGCAGCTTTTGTTTTGGAATATGAGCGACATGACGAGAGCAGTGATAAAACCTGCTCCCTGCAGGAGCAAGAGGCTGATCTCCACATGATGCTCAGACTATAGAAAGTGGAAATTTAGCACTAAGAAAGGTAGCTATCAATTTAAATAACTAATTCTTACTATTTATTTTTTGCTCTTGTTATTAGAGTGATGTTTAATCTGTTTACACACTTGTTTGAGTGAAGATTAAGTGCAATGATCATGTTGTTTTAGTTACAGTCAGTAAAACTGGAGCTGTGGACTCTTAACTTTGAACAGACAATAATGTGGGGTTTTGTTTTGTCCCCACCTTCAGTTTTTTCCACCATAAAGCAGCACAAGGCTGACAGATGGTAAAAAAAATAACTGGAGTGATTTTGAATTATTTTACACTGTAAAAGTACATTTTGTTTTTATTATGTTATTTTTTCAGGGTATTGTAATTTATTTTATTTATTAAATTGTATAATGTTCTTCAGTGTAAAATGTATGTGATCCATTGGTTTAAAATAAATGGGTCAGTTTTTCTCATACCTACTCTTTTTCACTGTTTGATCTGATCAAGATTTTTCTAAGATTTTACACTACAAAATAGGTAAAAGTGTGTGACTTGCACTGTTATAGTAACGGGTCAATATCGGTATCGGTCAATATCGGTATCGGACATTTCTCAAAGTTGTAATATCGGTATCGTATCGGAAGTGAAAAAGTGGTATCGGGACATCCCTAAAAATTATGTACACTAAGCTGCCTTCAGGCCCAGCCTGCCCTTGCTAAAGAGATCTGTAATCTCAGTGGGATTTGCCTGGTTAAATAACGGTAAACATACAGTATAAACAAATAATCAAATAAATAAATAGTAAACATCGATGACCAGCTGAGGGGACTAGGCCGTCTCAATGGTTGACGAATGATGCACGACAGGAAACCCATCTGGAAAACTCATTATCTCGAGAAAACCGTCGGGAAATTTACTCATTATCTCAAGAAAAGAAAACACTCCTCGTTATTTTGTGACGAGGAAACCATGGAAAGTAATTATGTGCAGAAAATGACCGCTATCGGCTTCCGTAGTTTCAAATAAAAGAAACTCACAATTAAAAACAGAAGCAAATGGAATAGAAATATTTTAAGACTGTGCAGGCTTCATTCATGGCCTACATGTCATTTCTGCAAAGGATGCTGCTTATATCTTTTTTTTCTTTTTTGCTTTTTGTATGAGAAAAACTTGTGCATGCAGTTTCCTGCATGGTAGATACAGTACTAAGATACACACATGGTGACTTTTTGCAACAAAATTCACTAGTGAAAGTTAACACAATGGTCTGCAGTTCTTGGCCTTCCCACGGGCTCGGCAACTAAACAGGAAGTCCTTTATATTTCTGGCTAACACTAAAATCTTAATGGTTTTGTTTAAAATATTCCAGCTGGAGCAGCCCAGACATCCAGCATGTGATCTGATCACAGCATGACCTCAGATATCTCTGGGATTGCTCACACATGTTCAGGCTTCCAGGGATGTTAAGGACAATTAAAAACAAATTCTAAACTTATTTTTAAATTCAATGAATCTGAAATTCTTTCAAACTTTATCTTTAAAAATGAAGAGGTTTTTTATTAGGATAAGTGTCAACATCAAAGCTCAAAAGATTCTCAAAAAGCAGAGACATACTGTAAGAACGTACAGAAAATATGAATACAATTCAAAATGTCACTGTATCAATTATTTAAATTCTAAAAATTTAGGATATTCACATAAGAGTTAAATTATTTTAGGGCAAAGTTTCATGTAAAAACATATACATTAAATCAGTGATTGACTGCTGTCAAATTTAGCAACAATAATGAAGTTGGTAGACATTTCCTGGTCAGTTAAGGAGTGTGCCACCTGTGTCCAAACATCCATGTGATACTGAAAAAAACAACATATTTCTGACTGATCTGAAAGCATAGAGGCCATGTTTAGACGTGGCATTAACATATGTCCTGGCTGAATCTGTCTCAAGAACAGCTTTAAGTTTCTTATTCTGCATGCAAAAAAAAGTTTAAAAATCAGCATACAAGACAAAGTGGTCTAATGTTTATGTAAAATCACAAACATTCAACCACCTGAAAGTGATTATATTGTTTGACATTAACCCACTTTACCACTTCAGTCTAATTTTTTTGGAGTCATTTACAAAATTCCTGATTTGACTAATTATATAATCTAACAGAGGCAGAATTTGAACAGCAAAGGATCCTAAAATCATGCAAATTAACAAACAAATACTTTCTGAAGACAGAACTAAATGGAAAATGGTTCAAGAACAAGCAGGAACTGTAGACTGTCAGTAGAGACCTGGCAGAGCATCCAGGGATAAAACCCAGCATCTGCTGATGTCTGAGTTCCAGGCTTGACTGCAAAAGATTTGAAACCAAATATTAAAAAGAAAAAGTTTGATTTAAGATTGTTTATTTGTCCCATTACTTTTGGTCCTTTAAAAAATGGGAGGCACAAATACAACCAGTTGTAATTTGTACACTCAAACTGGATGTAAATACCTTCATATTAAAGCTGAAAGTCTGCTCATTTAAAGCCAAAATGATGAGAATTGTGTCGATGTCCCAATATTTATGGACCCAACTGTATAAATTCTGGTGTTAAGCTTTGTTTTTTCAAACAGTGCTGTTTTCACTCTGGTAGGTCTCTGAGAAAAGTCAAAGGTCAAATGCTGACAGCTAACCCTCTCCTCAGTCTGGGTCATCTATGTCTTTGTGGATCCTTTTAAGTTTATTCAACTGAGGAAAAACAACAAAGATCATCTGTAATAAATCTGACATAAGTTAAACTATTTTTGGGAAAACACAATACCAACTCTGAATTTCTTGGCGTTAGTGTTGCTAAATATTAAATGGCTTGTTTTGAACCCAATTTGATGCCAGATATGTGAATATGAAACTTGTCGAAATATCACAAGAACGGTTACACAACACCCATCTCTGATGAGTAATTTTTGAGTATTTAGCTCAAAGGTCATGTCCTGACTTGTACTTATTTTGTGCGAACAGTAATAACTGCCCCTAATGTGTGACTCATTTGGTTTAAATCTTTGATAATTTGACAACTAAAGCTCTTTTTTCATGGTTTGCTCCTGAAGATAGCATCAGGGTAAAAGACAGAACTCTGAGGGGTTTTCCAGTTATTTTTTCAAAGACCTTGAACATTTCACTTTTTAAAGACAGTTTCTGTTGAACCATTCATTTCCTCTTCCTTTGATGAAAAGATGTGTTTACATTTTCTCAGGAATCTGCAGGTAGCAGATGTTGCGTGTCCCAGGAATAGTGCAAACTCCTCATTGTGCAGGTTTCACTCTTAAGTGAAAAAAAGTATTTATTACTCTAAACTTTCTTTTAAGTTAAATTTAAAGTGTTATGTGGCTTGTGGAAGCGTTGCAGATTTAAGTATATTTGTGGTATTTTGTCAGTACCATATTTTAAGACAAGAAAGTAGTACTCCAAAATTAATGTAAGCTGAAAATTTTCTACTTGTCACTTTAACTAAATTCATTCTGACTGGGGTCAGAAGATAAGTTGATGTACATTTAGTAAAAAGTTTCAATAAAATCTGTTATGCTAACACTACAGAACACATTATTTTCAAAGAACATTGGAATGTTATTTATTACTAACTTAAAGTGAGACTATAAGGACTTGATTTTAAAATTGAATGTTCTGTTAAAAAACTATTAATACTTATTTATTTATTTATTTATTTATTTATTTATTTATTTATTTATTTTTGCTGTTTTTTGTCCAACCTCAAATATGTTTTGAATATTTTTCTATTGGGTGGTGGTCCCCCTATTTAAAAAGGAGGACCGCAGAGTCAGATAGGCAGATTGGTGTTGCGTCTCTGCAGTGATGCGGCCGTTGTACCGATCGGTTGGGGTGAAGCGAGCGATGGGCCAAAAAGTGAAG